TATACATAAAATCTTTTAATTTTTATAATTTCACATTTTACCCATCAAATAAACAAATAATGATTACTTTATTCTACCAAAAAATCGACCTTTAAAATCTGATAAATATTACATTTTAATAAAACAAAATTGAAAAATTAATGTAATAATTATTAATAAATAGATGGAAAAATTACTTTGCCGACATCTCGCAATAAAGAATTTATAAACTTATTTTGATTTTGGACGAAATCTTAAAAAGCCTAATTACTAGATGTAAGAATTACGTGAGCGTTTGCCAAACACTTACTCAGTAGATGTTTATCGGTAAAGTTTAACACTATCATTGATTTTTGTTTACCAAAACGAAATCGTATGCAACAATTTACCCAGTAAGAGCTTACCGTGGTAAGAGTCTTACCGGGTAAGACTCTTGGTCCTTGTCTCGTTTTTACCGGGTAAGATTATTGGTTTTTTATCATATTCATCTAGTAAGACAATGTGACTTGATAAACACTTAAGTAGATAGGTAAGCATTTGGTAAACAACCCCTATGATTTCTTGAGAACATCTCCATGTTTAGAGAAAAACATAACAAACCGATGAACAAACAAGAATTGAAATACATTAAAATAAAAAAACAAAAAACAAAAAATGTATTCAGTGATCGTGAAAAATTATGTGTGTGTGTGTGTATATATATATATATATATGTGTGTGTGTGTGTGTGTGTGTGTGTGTGTGTAAGGATGGTACCTTAGGGTGATGAGGTGGGAGATTGGGGAGCAAGGTCTGAAGATGGGCATACAGATTTGACATTTTTCTTCGTCTTCCTCTTTCTGCAGATACTCGTGTTTCAAGTTTCCTCTTTTTATGATCCATTTCATCATCTTCACCGTTCATCATCACCCCTTTTCCTTTTGCTACTTTATGATTCTCATTATCATTACTTACCCCAGCTTTAGCCATGCTGAATCTTGTATATGTGTTTCATCCACAAAGCTATATATAATATACATACATACATGAACTAAATAGGGAACTCACAGAAATATATGTAAAGATGGAACGATGGTATATATATATATATACGCACACATATATATGTATACAGAGGTCGGTTATTATACAACCCTTGACATTTGTTCAACCAATACAACTCAATCTCAACCGTTTATTTCATTTTTATTAATATTAGATTTTGTAGAAGTTTTAATTGTTTCCTAATATAAAGTATTGATCATAATTAATGAACCATATTCATATTCCATAAATATTCAAATCATAATAAATGAATTCTCATCATTTTCATAAATATCTCAATTTATTGGGTTGTATTTGTTGTACAAATGCAATGGGTTGTATTTGAAACAAACACACACTCTCTCTCTCTCTCTCTCTCTCTCTCTCTCTCTCTATATATATATATATATATATAGACCAAACATTTGTATAATTATATGTAAAAGAGTTGTAATAAATTTATAAGATATTTTGGACTTTTATAAGCTTTTTAGAATAATTTTAAAATAAAACATTATATTAATTATATTATATGATATTATTTGGAAAATAGAAACTCTTATAAAAATATATTTCCTATAAAAAGATATAACGAAACACATTGGACAGAAGGACCCATCATATAATACATATGATGATGTCATAGTTGCATAACTTGAACGGTGTAAATATTAACTTTGTATTTAAAATCAAAATGGTGGTGTTTGATTGTTTTGAGCTTGACTTCAAAAGTTAAAAGTATTAGGAGGTTCCAGGTTCAAATCCAATGAGAAATAAAAATTTTCTTGTGGCCACGAAGGTTCAAATGCGGTGACTCCAGGTTATCTACAAAGCAGGTGGTCGCCCTGAGATTAGTCGGCTCGATAATTGATTTATTTCCTTTTTTGTGATTAGTGGACATTTGTTTTATTTTAAAATAATTAGATATAAGTAATGATTAAATTTTACTCTAATTATAGATACTAGAAGGGTACTCGCGTAATGCAACGGGATACATCTTGATTTTAATATTTTATTTTATTCTTTATCTCAGTCGATATTATAGTATGATCTTATGTGATTTTGAAAAAAACGATGATGTTTTATTTTTGAATAAAATATAAATTTGAAGATATCATAAAAATTTGACAAAAATATATCAATATTAGTATCAAATTAACTATCTAAAATTCATATTTTTTGTATAATTTTTAATTTAATTTTTTTATAATTTAATTTTTTTATAATTTAATTTAGGTTCAATAATGAAGTAATTTATATTTGGTTTAATAATATAATTTTTTTATAAATATAATAATAACTATTTTGTTAGAACTCGATAATTATCTTAATTATATTTTTAAATTTTTTATATTTTAAAATGAGATGTTTATTCTTTATTTGATTATACGTAGTTAGTTTTACGAATTCAAACATGAAGTTTTAATAAGTTGTACTTATGCATAATTTACTTGTAATCTTAAATTTTAAGTAATATGCATCAATATACAGTACTTCATGCATAAAAAATGATTTTTAAGAGTTTTTATCAAATGCTTTATAAGATAACTAGAAGAGTACTCGCACAATGCAGCGAGATAAATCTCCAATTTAACGTTTAGTTTTTTAAACCGTCTTTATCGATATAATACGATTTTATGTGGTTTTGAAAAAGCGATAATGTTCTTATTTTTGAATGAAATATAAATTTGAAAAAAAACATAAAAATTAAAAAAAAAATCGATATTAGTATAAAATTAATTATTTAATAGTTCTTCTTTTTTATTATAATTTAATTTAGATTTAATAATAAAGTAATTTATTTTTATTTTAATAATATAATTTTTTATAAAGATAATAATTAAACATTCTGTTAGATATCAATAATTATCTTAATTATATTTTAGATTTTCTATATTTAAAATGAATGTTTATCTTGTATTTGATTATGTTTATTTATAGGTAGTTACACAAATTTAAAAATAGAGTTTTAATAAGTTGTACTTACGCAAAATTACTTGTAATCTTGAATTTTAAGTAATATGCATCAATAAACAGCATTTTATGCATAAAAAATAGTTTTTAAGAGTTTTTATCAAATGCTTTGTAATATAGTATAGATATAGATAAAAGTAATCATTATAATCATGTTTTTTTTGGGGATAAACTTGTCTACTTGATTCTTTACATGTTTAACAAACATGAGTTGTCATATAGGTGTAGACTTGTTGGCTTAAGAGTGTAGAATGGAATACAAGCATAATTTCCATGTTTTAATATATAACCAATATTCATGTGACAACCCGTCTTATGTTGATATAAAGCGAGATTTTAAGTTTAAAAGTTCCTTAAAGTAAGGCGGGGGTTACGCGAACCCGTCACACATATGGATAAAAAAATGAAATTCGCAACGCCTCAAGCACATGGAGAGAGGATGACCCGCTCCTATACCCTTCAAATCAAATTCAAACCATCGTTATTTGGTTTAAGCTGATCAAGAGATTATTGAGTTATTATACTGATTTTGGTTTCGGGTGTTAAAAATGGTCTTAGAGCCGATCTTTTCAATCGGGATGGTGGAACAAACCTCATCGAACCTAAGAAGGATATTTGTAACAACTAAATTAAGTGAATCTCTAAATAAAATGACTAGCATTTATTATAGCATTCCATTGCGGACCAACGGTGATGAGTTACTCACACAAAAACTTTACTTTTAAAATGAGAAATTTCTCTATCTTTAGATGTGAATTCGAGTAAGAGGTCGTTTACCAAACACTTATCCGGTAAGTGCTTACCGGTAAAATTTAATACTATTATTTATTTACCGGATAAAATTTTAGTCCACAAAAACAACATCATATGCAACAATTTACCCGGTAAGCGCTTATTGTGGTAAGAGTCGTCTCCCTCGCTTACCGGGTAAGACTCTTGGTCCTTGTCTCGCTATTACCCGATAAGATTCTTGGCTTTTATCATATTCATACGTTGAGGTAATGTTACTTGATAAAGTGTTTACCCGGGTAAGCGTTTGGTAAACGGCCCCTAAATTGGTTCTTCAAATAAACCGTAGAGGGTTGTACGCATACCTTTTTTTGATCGCAAGAATACAAGGCAATTTGTATATTTTGATCGCAATGAACTTGAGAAATATAATATAAAGTGACTAAATAATTCTAGATTGAAATCATAGAAGTGGAAGAATTGAAAATGCTACTTCAATGCATCATGTGGTCTCTAGTTGAATTAAGGGATGTCTGGATGATTTTCCATTAAATTATGTATGTATTAAGTTGTTTGTATTGATTAAGTTGTCTATAATATTTAATATAAATTTATATTTGATATTGTGTTGAAAAAGCAGTCTTAATAATATAAATGACCATTTTACCCTTTTACTGTATGGTTTTTGTTTTTTTATTAGTTCTTGTGTGTAGTTTCCGTTAAAGTATCATTTCAACTAATTTAAACATATGAACTTATAAATGTTCTCTTGGTAAACAAACTTTAAAAGTTCTTCAAACACGTGGCATTTCCAAAGTTCATATATCGGGAGAAGATTATTGAAATGATATAGAAGATGATATGAGGTGAGTTATTATACAATTCTTTACATTCCTACAATCCTTACAATCAAATCAGAAGCGCCCATTTGATGATCGATGGTTACCATTTAGTGGGTTGTAACTACCCTTGATTAAAAAAACCAAAAATGAAAAAAAAATGACTGATAGGTGAGTTGCATCAGTTATATAATCTAAAAGGATTGTATTTGATCGCACCAAATATATTGTATATGAAGTATCATCTTCTTTAATACTTGTAAACTATTTTATGAGTGCTGATATTAGGGTATAGTAGTTAGATTGTTGACGACTACTGTGATATTCAGGTATTAAATATTAAAGTTTGGGTGGTTTTTATTTTTAAGTTGATGGTAAGTTAAGGGGCTTTAATTGTGAATGTTTTTTAAGTAATTAAATATTCTCACCGCCTCTTATAGTTTATGATTGTTATCATGAGATATTTGTTTTATCTCATGGAGAAATGTGAATGATGAGTTATAAAATAATAAACTCCACCGCCTATGAGTTAATTATAATGGTATAAAAGTAATAGATAAGATTCATCTTATCTTATTGCTATTTTTGGAGAGAAAGAAAAATAATTTTGTGTGTTTTCCTGTGAGAAAAAGAAGAAGTTGATTCTGTAATTTTATTTGAAGTTGCTGTTGTTGAATTAATCTTCAAATACGTGAAAACTGTGAGTTTATGTTATCAAATTTCTTTATTTGGTGTTTGAAATATTGAACCATATGGTTCTTATGTAGGAAGTTGATAAACAGTTTCTTGAAAGCTGTTTGAGTTGGATGGTAAATTTGATATAGAACTGTAAGGTTCTTTATATGAGTTTCTGTTTTGAAACTGTTTTGGTTGCCAGTTTTGGTGAAAAATGTGGTTTTGATTATGATGTGTTGTAATAAGGGTGACATATCAAGGAGTTATGTACATTGGTAATAAGGGTGACATAATCAAGAGTTGCATACATTTGTAACAAGGGTGGCATAATCAGGAGTTGCGTACATTGGTAATAAGGGTGGCATAATCTATTTCTGGAAATGATGATCTTTTGATCATGATTTTTGTTATCACATTCTTATGAGGTGATGATCTTAAGTTATCGTATTTGTGTGATACGAGGACTTGGGTTGTCGCATCTTATTGATGTGATAAAAAAGTGTTTAAGGATCAGAGGGGCTCTGGTTAGTATTCATGTTGAACCAGATGGCCTCTGGTTGTGTTTGGATCCTTGATCTTTTCAAAATGTCGAACTTATTTTGAACCAGAGGCTCTGTATGTGCTATCTAGAGGCTTTTTATTTGGAAATTGGGCTATATGCTCAAGCTCTGTGTTCAAGCTCTGTATCCAAGCTATGTTCAAATTTTGTATCCGGGCTCTTAGTCCAAAAAACTTTTAAATGATTAAATCATTTTTGATTAAACCATTTTAACACTTAGACGACCAAAACATAGTTCAACCAGAAGGACTCGGGTCGTCCAGAGGGCCTTTGGTTGGCTTTGGCTTTGGGTGGATTCCTTCTAAGTGTGTTGTCTTTGACAAATGAAGTAGACGGCATCTAGTTGATTTTCATGTTTAACCAGAGGGCATCTGATCATATTTAAAGTTCATTTTTTTTTCTAAACATAACTCATTGTTGGTTAAGCGAACCAGAGGCTCTGGTCATCCAGAGGGTCTCTGGTTGGTCATGTCTTTCTATGGCTTGTTTCTAGTTATCTTATACTTTTATGTTGGCTATCTTCAAGTATTTTGCATTGATTAAAGTGGTCCAAAGAGGCTTTGGTTTGTCTTGAACTTCTGGTTGAATTTGAAGTTTGAGACTAGAGGCTCTAGTCGTCCAGAGGGCCTCTGATTGGTCTTGCTTTTTTTTTTATTAACTTAGGTGGCATTAGATTAAGTTTGGCTTTGCTCTGCTTGTTGGACCAAAGGGGCTCTGGGTGGTCTGAGTGTGATGCGAGGAGTTGAGAATCTCACACCAGTGTGATGCGAGGAACTGGGTGATTTCACTCTACGTGATGCAAGGAAGTTTCATAAATCCCTATTTGATGTTATAAGTTTTAATATGGGATAATTTTTAAGATATTAGATATTTGAATGCGATACTTAAGTTACGTTTATTCGAAAAGTTATATATTATTTTATAACATGTTTTGGTGATTTTTGACCCTGTAATTGCAATAAGGTATTTCTCACTAAGACCTCAAGGTTTAGCTCTCATTTTGTGTTTCAAAAATGTGCATTACAGGTTGATCTTGAATGTGAGATTTTCCTTATATGCTTACTTGGATTATAGAGGAGTTTTTATCTGTTGATCTTCAATACTTGTTATATATGCAAGTGATGTATAAGAATGATGTGGACGTTCTTGATTTGGTAGCCATTTATCATCAAATGGACGTTCTTGATTTGGTTGTTAGAGTTGTAGGAATATAAAATATTGCATAATAACCGTCTTTACATATATAATACACATATCTATACTTGTATAACAATATGTGTGTGTGCGCGCACGCACGCATGTGTTTGTGAAGAAGGAGGTTAAAGATGAAACCCCCCAAAAAGGCACTACAACAAATTTGGGTTTATAGGACTTGAAAATTTTCTAAGCTTCCTAATTGATCATTTTATAAGACTCAATTTATAAGAACAATAAATAAAGTGTCATATCTAAATGCGCTGTATTAAGTTTATAGGACGTTTTTCGGTATCATAACAAAATATTTAGGCCATTTTTTTATAAAAAAAAAAGACGTATTAGCTATTTTATAGGACACTATTTCAAAAAGTGTCTTATAAAATCAAATGTCCTATATAAAGATGGGTTTATAAGACAGTTTCTCAAAAATGTCCTATAAAATAGTTAATGCGACACTTTATGTTAAAAGTGTCCCAAAAAACCTGTTAAGACGCTCAAAAGCGTCCTATAAACATATTGCAACATCTTTTAGATATGACACCTTGTTTTTTGATCTTATAAAGTAAGTCTTATAAAACAGTACATTAGGACGCTTAAAAATTGGTGGCGTCCTATAATTCCAGTTTTGTTGTAGTGAGGAGAACAATGAAAACCCTATCAACCGTTGAATCTAAAAATAAATTACTCGTATTCAAATGTAATCACCCCTATGATCGAAGATTTTATTAGTTTTAGCAAGATGTGATTGTCCTTCTCGTTGTATTCAGAACCGACAAGTTCCTTTGCTCTCGTTTGCTTTAGTGTACTCTCTTGAACCAAAATGTAGAGTTTATGCAATATATTTATGTTCATTTATATAGTGTAGAATAAAGGATAATTAGGAAACTAAATACTAACCCTAATTAATTGTTATTAAACATCAAATAATAAATAAAAATTGTGGCATTTTGTTTCAGTTTGGGTTTCTTTCAAACCCATTTTCCTTTCTCTCACCGCGTAATGAAAAAGTCTGGTAAACCTCGGATTTGCTCCGTATCACTTTCATTCCATGTTCTGTACATTGATTATAGGACGACTCCAAGCATTCAACCATATATAACCTTGTTCATCGTCTAATCAATATCATCTCTATTTGGTATCAATTCTAGTACGGTATCAGAACTCTAGGGCACATTCTCTCTTTCAAATCGTTAATTGTGGGAATCAAGTAACCTTTACCCTAATAGTGCTCTAGGTTTAAATCAAATTAATTTAATATCGTTCTTTCTGAAATCATAATCTTATGCTTATCGTTGCCCATGAAAACCCTATTGAAAAACTTTTAACGAATTCATAATCTTTCCGTATTTCCTTTATGTCCTTCAAATAAAGTTTTGATACGTCATTTTTCTCTCTCCTTTTTTATTACTATTTAATTTAAATATATGCATTCCCCATACGTTTAATCAGCTGAACCGAAGTGTGTATGTGTATGTCTGTATGTCTGTGTGTGTGTGTGTGTGTTTTCCATTGAGAGGAAAAGTTAGTGTGAAGAAGAAACCGTTAAAGATTGAAGAAGAGAAAGAGTGTGAATATCCATTTCAGGTAAAAATCTCATTCTCCTATGTTGATTCTTCTATTCTTGGTTGGTAGACCTTTATGGATTAGGGTTTCATCTTTATTAGATATGATAAAGTTTTAGGAAAGGGTTATTTGTTGAGGAACTTTTTTATGATGAAGTTTAGTTATGAATTTGATCTCCAATAATTTGTTTATGGTGAACTCGGTAAATTGGGTAATTCCCTTCAATGGAGGATCGATCAATTGAATCATAATGATTAAGTGGAGCAGAGATTGGTTAGAATTGATTCTTTATTGATTTGGGGTGAGTTTTGATTCTTATATGTTATGTATATCATTGGAATTGAACTTGGAGCTGAGATTTTCGTGCACGAAGTATGCAGGTGAAACAGAAGGTTATGTGGGTTGCACCGTAACTTTGGCCATGAGCCAAGTCTCATAAGCCACTATTTCACCATTTCTCATTTTTGGTGTGAGGGGTAAATCAGGGTTGTAATTAGAACCACTACCTAAGGGGTTTAGCAGCTCGTTTGAAGGTTATTTTGAAGTCCTTTAACTTGTTGTTATCACAATCTAATTCTAATTCAGTTTTCCCTTGGTGCATTCTTAGCCTAAGAGAGTATGTATAGTCTGAGGTGTGTACCCAAATGGAGTACATCAATTTGTTTTATGTAGCTCATGTTAAGGTCAGGCGTGTAGCCCATTGAGTTGGTCAGGTGTGTGTGTGACTATACGCATGTGCAACCCTTGCTACATGTGTAAGTATGTTTTGCCATTCTAGTGTGATAACCTGCCGCTTTCATATATGGTTTAAATTGTTGTCTTTTCGGTGTGAACTATTGTGTTATCGGGAATTCACTAGACCAAAAGGTCTAACCCTAGCTTTTTCAGAAGTCGAAAACCTTTTCAAGGGAAGGGGAAATGTGATCCTCGTGGCTAGTCGCCTTAAACTTGACTTGTTTTCTATAATAAATCTCAGTAGTATTATTTTTTCGCTGCAACTGATCATGAGATAGATTGGACGTGATGACCCTATTTTAGTATTTGTGCTTGCCAGTCTGGGCAATCATTATGATACTGTTATTTTGGAACTGTGGTTGCTACATGTAACCAAAATGTAATCCGATGTACATTGTTATCTTTCTAAATAGAGCTCCAAGGAGGGCTCCAGTTGTTAATCTAGATTTACAGGAAAAGGTATCGATGAATAAAGAATTTGGATAATATATGGATAGCGAATAGAATTAATTACTCTTTGTACGTTATATTTTGACACATTTGGAGCCTATGGGTATCATAAAATTTAGTCGAGGATAATTCAAAGTACACATACAAGATATACATACAAAATTAAGAGCAATAACACAGAGATGTTGCATTTTAAATGAGATTGATGACCCATTAAATAAGTAGTTCTTCACGAGTTGACTTGGACGTCAAGTAGTTATTAGTTTGTGGATAAGATCAGTTATCAAATTAATAACTACCGACGGATAAAATAAATAATGATTATTGCACCAAAGTTCAGAAGACGACTTGTCTGTTAACTTAAACAATAAAACCTTAACGATCTCAAGTAAATCACAAGTACATCAAAATATTTGATGACACTAGAAACCACCAATACCCATTTGTGGTTGAGCCATTACCTCATTAACACAAGGTAACAAAGCCTCCTGGACTGCCCCGTATCCGGCCTTGGCGTACAATCGTTCCGGCGCCACGCCTCCCCCACACACCGGCGTGCAACCTCCCATGGTCAAGACTAAATATGGCATGTAGGTGTTTCTAATCAATTGTTAATTAGGAAGCTGTGATGATCAATTCTACAACAATATCTATATATATATATATATATATAGGGTTGGATTCACGTAAGAACAAGGGTTTTTCGTGAGACCCGTAAGAACAATTCTCAATGATATATATTTGGAATTAATGATCAATTCCAACACAATCATACTCCTCAAAATGCATTAATATAACGTTGGATTTTGTCTATATACTGCTTAAATGAACACATGTAACACTAAACTTTCATAAATTCATAGTTTATCATAAAGACAACGAACGAAGACGACACATAAACAGCACGACAAAACACATGAAATGGTCTTTACGATGACGGAAAAAACTTAACGCAATGCGAAAACTAAAATTCTGGAAAGCAAACCAAGAATTAAACCCGACTAAAGAGAATCCATCAAATAAGACATGATATTATAAAGCATCGGGATCGACCTTGAATAGTACTACGCTGTTTCTATCCAAAAGATAACAATGGCTGATCACACCTTCGTTCCTTAATTCTCGAGCTTTTCAAAGTTAATCCAGAGCACGATCTGCTCCACCGCTTTCTTATACATCTCTTCATAAGGAAATCCTTCAGCAAACTCAGGAGGTACATTAGCCTAATTATCAGCATACATAGAACCAAAATATGGAGTTAGAATCACATAAAGAGGTCTATTAGGACACTTAGAAATTGGGAATGTCCTATAAACCCGATTTTGTTGTAGTGTCATGTTGGTTATATATATATATATATATATATGTATGTATATATATATAGATCATCATCATCAATAATGGTATTATAATTAAGGAATGAGAAATGACTTACACGAACATGAATCATGTACATGGTCTTAGCATCATCAGAAGAGATTTGAGCAGAAACAATGTCGTGATTATGATTCTTCAAGATGAAACAAATGGTAGTGAAAAGGCCAGGTTTTTTCAAGGAGCAGATGCTGATATGGGCATCGGTGCCACACATGCTTATGGTGACATTAGGCGATGTCCATGTTTCGAAAACGTTTAACGAACCCTGCTGCTGCTGCTGCTGCTGGTTAACTAACAAGGGTTCATCACCATTGTTATTAATGACTGGATTTTGCGATGGAACAGTGGGTACGACAGCAGTAGCATCATTGGGTACATGACCTTGAAGCCTCTCCACCTTCTGTTTTTGAAGATTTTGGAGGGTTTGCTCCAAGAATTTGATGGACTCCATGGCCGCTTTCACGATTGTGGCTTTATCTGCCTGATCAGTATGTATAGAACATTGTGAGAAGGGATATTTTGAATCATTTATTTTTTTAAAGATATTTTGGATCTTCATCTTTGGATTAATTCTAATTGAAAAGAACCACTAGATCAAAGACTAACAAGATAACTAGATCGATTCCCTTCTAAAGTATATGATTTATTTTGTGATAAAAAGTGATCAAGGGTATAAATCTTTTTTACGATTCTTACTTTAACTTTTATTCTCACACGATCCTTCATCTCATTTGTAAATGGTATAAATATATTCAAATAGAAAAATTATAAATGATCAACTCATAATGACATTCAAGACATGAATGGGTGTATTTTCTTTATGTATTTTAGGATATCTGTTCGTTTATTTATATGTAATTAATATTTTCTTGAAGAGATTAATTAAGAAATGTTAGTAATTATGCATACTCATACAAAATATTTCATATGTAAACATGTGAACTAAATCTTGAATTTGTTTTGAATATACATATATATAAGTATTAATTAACTGTAATATATATATAGAGAGAGAAAGAGAGAGGTGAGCTATTATGCAACATTTATATTTGTACAACATTTACGTTTGTACAACCAATACAATTCAATCTCAATCGTCAATTTAATTTAATGAATATGTGATTTAATAAAAGTTTTGATTGTTTCCTAATATAAAGTATTGATCATAATTAATGAACCATAATCATCTTCCATAAATATTCAAATCATAATAAATAAACTCTCATCATTTTCATAAATATCTCAATTGATTGGGTTGCAATAGTTGTACAAATGTGATGGGTTGTATCTGAAACATATATATATATATATATATATATATATATATATAGAGAGAGAGAGAGAGAGAGGGGTGAGTTATTATACAACCCTTTACATTTGTACAACCATTACAACTCAATCTCAACCGTCCATTTAATTTGATTAATATGTGATTTCATAAAAGTTTTGATTATTTTCTAATATAAAATATTGATCATACTTAATGAACACTATTCATCTTCCATAAATATTCAAATCATAATAAATGAACTCTMATTATTTCTATAAATATCTTAATTAATTGAGTTGCATTGGTTGTACAATTGGACATGGTTGCATTTGAAATATACTATATATTATATATAGGGGCCTATTCAAGGGAGAACTGAGTTGTTTGTGGTAACTGTGAGAACCAATATTAACCACAAATCAATAGATAAATTAGGAAATTTATAAATTTGGTAATTTTAAATTAAAATTTTAATGCAAGGATATTTTTGGTATTTTAAAATTCTCCTCTCTCCTCTCTTCTCTCTCCGGCCTCCGGCCACCGTCCTCCGGTGATACCACTATGATACCACTGTGATACCTAAAAATATTGACTCTGTTAAACAAAAGATACATTGTGATACCTAATCATATATAAGATGCATAGTGATACCACTGTGTTACATCTTCGATCGACCATACAAACGACATCAATGTGATACCCAAGCACATATATGATACATTGTGATACCATTGTAGTATCACCGGAGGACGGAGGACGGTGACCGGTGGACGGTGGCCGGAGAGAGAAGAGAGGAGGGAGGAAAATTTTAAAATACCAAAAATATCCTTGTATTAATATTTTAATTCAAAATTGCCAAAATTATAAATTTCTTAATTTATCTATTAATTTGTGGTTAATATTGGTTCTCACAGTTACCACAAACTAATTAGTTCTCATTTGATTAGGCCCCTATATATATATATATATATATATATATATATATTATTTGTTGTATATATGTTATCAATTGCTTGATGACTTAGCCTTTTGGCAACAAGCTAAGCATTCTTTTGAGAAAATAAGATTGTTTAAACTTATTTAGTTTTTGTGAAAAAAATCTGTTTCCTAATCCATACTTCATATCTAAAATTCGAAAAACAAAAACTAATGCGAGTAGAAAATAAGATTTCCATGTTTAAACAAGAGAAAAACATAAACAAACATAAAATAACAAACAAGAATTTGAAGCAGATTAAGATAAAATATATATATATATATATATACATAGAAGATATATTCACTGATCATGAAAATTATATATATATATATATATATATATATATGATTTCATGACTGCAATTGTCATTCCATTTCTTGGAAAAAAAACAAGAATTTAAATTTATGAGCGNCATTCCATTTCTTGGAAAAAAAACAAGAATTTAAATTTATGAGCGGTGTTTAATAATTTTCATGATCAGTGAATATAGCTTATATATATATATATATATATATATATATGTATATATATATATATATGTATGTATAATCTTTAAGTATGATTTGAGATGGTTATATATAAGTTTGATCTATTTTAACATTAAAAGAAAACCAAATAGAAATAGAAAAGGAGATGTAGGGATGTATATACACTTAATTTTGGTACCTTAGGCTCAGTTGGGAGATTGGGGAGCAAGGCACGAAGATCGGCATACAATTTAGCCATTTTCCTTGTTCTTCCCCTCTCTCTTGACACTCGTATTTCATGTTTGAGTCTCTTGTGATCCATTATTTCAGCACCCTGATCAGCATTTTCGCCATCGATCATGACCCCTTTTCCTTTCGTTAGTTTCTGAACGACGCCACCATCATTACTCACCGCCGCTTTAGCCATTGTAGATGTGTTCGAGAAAGCTCGCTACAGACGGAACTGAGAAACTGTCTGAATGAAGATCTGTATGGCGAAATGGTCTTATATATTTGAGAACGAGGCAGTGAATATTAAAAGAGAGATGTTGGTTTTCTATGGATCATTCTTAGATGGCACACAGAATATTATTAAAATAAAAATAAAATAAAAAAACTAATTAAAGTTTCAGCTCCCTCGTCACTTTAGAACACAAAATGACTGATTAAGAGGTCGTATACATGTGTTTATACATGCCTGCAAAGTTCAACATACACAAAAAGACACATCCAATCGAAGGGTCCATCGTAATCTACATGACGTTCGATATTGCAGTCGTGTAAAGCTCAAATCTAGTGTAGTATACCACAAGGGTGGTGTCTGATTGGTTTGTGCTTGACTCTAAAGGTTAAAAGTACCAGATTCAAATCCAATGAAGAATAAAAATCCCCTTTGTGGCCACGGAGGTTCAAATGCGGTGACTCCGGGCTATCTGCAAAGCAGATGGTTGTCCTGGGATTAGTCGGCTCGCATAGCGGGTTGGATATCCAGGTTAATCAAAAAAAAAATCTAATGTGGTAAAAAAATTATTGTAACACTTTTATGTATGATATATAATTGTTGGATTTTATAAACCTTAATCTATTAAGCTTAGTAAAAAAATTTGATCCAATTTCTTGTGGGTATTTAAGATTGCTTTAAACAATAACCAAAAAGTAATGGGGATGGGGCTCTTTACCAAACGCTTATTCGGGTAAGTGAACACCAAGTTACATTACCTTACCGGATTAGCATGGTAAGGACCAAGAATCGTACCCGGTAAGAGCATGACAAGGACCAAAAATCTTACCCGATAAGTGAAGGCGACGACTCTTACCACGGTAAGCGCTTACCCGGTAAATTGTTACATACGATACCGTGGACTAAAAATTTACCGGGTAAGTAAATGATAGTGTTAAATTTACCAATAAACACTTACCGGATAAGTGTTTGGTAAACAACCCCTAAATGAGAGATCTTAATTAAAGAATTTCAAATTAATGTTATAATTTAAAAAACCAAATAATTAGTAATGTATAAGTTTAAGATTCCTCACATGTTTAATCATCAATTTAATTTGGAATAACATGTTGTAATTGTAAAAATAATTAATTATTTATTTTTTTAATATGGGTGGTTTATTTTATTACATACTCGGTAAATAATAATAAAAAATTCGTATGTATAAATAATATTTTAATTATTTTAATCATGTTTTTTATGGATAAAACTTAATTATTTACTTGAATTTTAAAAAAGTTTAACAAGCATGAGTTGTCACATAGGTGTAAACTTGATGGCTTACGAATTTAGAATGGAATACAAGCAAATTCGATGTTTTAATGTATGTATACTATATTGTAAAGCATTTGATAAAAATTCTTAAAAACTATTTTTTATGTATAAAGTACTGTTTATTAATGCATATTACTTAAAACTCAATATTACAAGTAGATTATGCGTAAGATTAAAGCTTCATATCTTGAATTCGTGTAACTAACTGCAGATAAATACAATCATATACAGGATAAATATATCATTTTAAATATAAAAAATATAAAATATAATTAAGATAATCATTGAATTCTAATAGAATATTTAATTATTTTTTTTATAAAATGTTATATTATTAAACC